AAGTCAGTGGCCACCTCTGCCCTAGAGCTAATGTTGGCATGAGAATAAAACCAAGATTGCCAGTTAAATCTACTCTAACAGAGGCCCCTCAAAGCCCTGAATTTTGAGCAAGGCCATTAGCATCTCTGTAGCAATGCTCTTCTTCTGGTTTTGGATCAGCAGCTTGTATTTCTGCCATTATTTGTCTCAGCCACAACCTCTTGATCTCTGAAGGCTATTTTGGTATTGTTAGTATGCCCTTCCCACCTCATTTATTTCTATCCTTTCTGTTTATCCTGGTACTAGTGCTTTTTATCAACACCATCTGCAAACTCCTCACATTGGTAACTGGTTCTTCCAAATTAGAAAATTTTGTCTCTGTACATTCCTGTGCAAAGGGGATCTGGAGTAATTTTCAATAACAAAGGAAATATCTTTATTTGATGCAAACTATCTGAAATGAAAGGATGAAGCAAACAAATAAGAAGTGTTTTCCATAATAAATATGACAAATAATGTGAATCCAGGAGATTTTCTTCAAAAGATATCTAAAAGCATTTACTCCAGTCTTCATAAAGGAAGGGAAACTGCCTTAATGAACATTATTTGGGATAGGAATAGAAAGGACAGTGTTTTATGGAAGAGAACAGCCTGCAAGTTGATAAAGCCTTTTAACATCTTTCTGCAGTGCTTAGAAACCTTAACCCAAATATAAGAAAAGGTTTTTAGCTGACCTTTACATAATGTAGCTCTTGAACTGTTGTCTCAAAGATTCGGGTCACAGATTTCTGCATCCAAATTGTTCTAAGTGCTCAGGAAAAAATATCTAAAGCTTTGGAAAGCAGCAAAAGCAGCACATGGCCGTGACCTAAAAAATCCAGGTGCATTCACCTTTGTCTGCCCTCCAAAGCTCGTCCTCAGAACTGGATTTGTGACATTGTCCCCATAAAGTGACCAAGCTCTTCGTGGTCCTTGGGTCCAGCCTCGAGTTCTCTTTCTCCCTTTCATAATTTCTTGTGCCAGTTCCACATTGGTTTTGGTGTACTTTGAGCAGCACTTGACCCCAGCACTGACAGGCACTTTAGAGTGCAACAAAGCATCTCTGTTCCCACGGGAAACAGAAGCAGCCATCTGTCAGAAAGCAGCCCAGACTTACTGCAGGTTGTCATGCAAAGTCAGAGACTGAGAAGAGAGGAATTGTCAGCTTCACCTTGATAAGCCCATGAGTGTGAAAGACATGTCACATGCAATTTCCATTACAGAGATCACCAGGATTCTATGAGAAGCAAGAATGAGTGGAAGAATCAGGCATACAGAAAATTATTCAGACCAGAAACTTTGGGCAGTTCCAGGAGTGCCTGTTTTCCATAGGAATTAAAAGGATTCTCAACACTGTCTTGCAAGATCAAGAGAAGATGATCCATTACAAAGTACATCAAGATAGCAAGGTAACATTTTCAGATTAACCTTCCTATATTTTTCCCCTCCAGCAAAAAAGTTGATAAATCCTCTCACAGTCAGAAAGCAGTTTTAGTATCATCCAAAAATGCTTTAGTGCTTTCCACTCAGAGCCATCTTTCTATTTCACATAAGAGCAGTGTACTGCACCCTCCTTGCCTTTCCCTGACACTGGGAACTTGATCTGCAGGTACAAGGAGCTTCTCCCTTTGTGCCAGGGACTGGTGGGGTATCCCTAGTTAGGGAATGAAGTCAGCTTTCAGAGGCAGAGAACCCCACTGTCCTTACAATGAGAGACCAGGACAAGCTCTTCAGCAGCAACTTGAATTCTGTAAGCTGCACGAGCTGCTCCCAGCAAAGGCACTGGCATGCACTGTGCCAAAATGTGAGAAGGTCCATCCAGGGGCTGGCTGCAGCTGGGCAGTGGAGAGGACTGGCCACCAGCTGGACACCTGCCACTCCTTTTGCTCTTCCTGAAGCACAGCAATGAATAATGATCTACAGTAAATATTTGCACTGCAGTAACACATGTCACATCCTTGAACTTAGGGTTTATCAGATGAGAAGTCATCTTCCTGAAGTTGGATGTTTATTGTCAGCTGGGGCAGATGCAAGGAGCCACGGAACTCAGACATTGTTTGTGCTTGGTTTCCAGGCTCTTTGTTTTGAAGCTGGTTGCAGTTAAGGAAGGAAACAAGCTTTTGTTATTTACATTCACCTTCTCACAGAAAAAACCTCTGCACCTGAAAGCTGGCAGCAGCACAGCATATTTGTTCAAGTTAAAAATACTATTTCACTTTGGAAAAATAATACCCCTTCGAAAACTGCAATTAGTGGAGTAAGTGGTATAATATGCGTATACAATCTTTCAGACCAATGCTACCCCTGGACAAAGTGTTTGCTCATCAATACAGTGCTAAAATAGGACCACTGTAGAAGTTCAGTGATGCTAAAAAAAAAAGCCTAATTTTAAGAACTCAAGTGACATACTGGTTACTTTTGCAAGACAAGTAGAAGAAAAATCTTTTTGTATCAATCAGAATGAAAGTGTAATTTAATTCAGTGCAACCTTTTTCTCCTAGAACCTAAGATATTGGAAATAAAACTCAGTGTGCAAGATTTAGTCATTTGTAATAACTAAATTACAAATAAATGCATGTTTGTACATACAATTTTCACCTGGAAAGAGCACAGTCCACATTTTTGTTACGTATAATTCATTTCTGCTTTGCTTTACTGCTTAGAAAAAGGAGGCTCACAAAGCTTCACATTGGCAATAAAAATCTTACTCCAGTTCAGACTTCCTTTTGGTAACCAGCAGGTGGAGGCAATGCTCCATCAAACCAATCATTAGTGTCACCAGAGCAAGCTCCACAAAAGCAGGAACACAAAACCAAGGGTCCTTAAACTTTAAAAAAAGAAACCTAGAACCAGAATAAACCACTTTCCCCATCATCTACCTTCTCTAGAGAAGCAAAAGCACAGGACACTAATTCAAACACTCTTTTGCCCTCCAAAAATGTGGATCTGTCCATCAGTACCATCTTGCAGTCCAGGAGCACATAGCTCCCAGGCCTGGAATAGGATATCTCAAAGCAAGCCAGGTCTCTCTACCACAAACAAAGGGCTTTGTGCCTTTGCTTTGTCCTGCCCCATGCTCCTCCCCACTGCATCTCCTGGCCTCTCTCACCTCACATGTCCCCACAAGGAGCACTTAGTGCCCAGCTCCAGAACAAACCTCAGTGCCTGCGGCACGGGCAGAGCTCCTGCTCCAAGGGTTGTTGGGCCAGGCAGAGCAGCCATGAGCACACTGGGCACTCACCTGGGAGGTGGGAGACCAGCAGCAGGGAGCTGGCAAAACAGGGCTGCTCTGCTGGAGAGGACAGAGCAGGATGCACAGGTCACCATGCCACAGCAACTTCACCATCGCAGGACATCTGCCAAGCAGCACAAGCAGAGCTGGTGACAATGACATGTCCCAGCACCATCCCAGCAACCATCAGACATGCACAGGCAAAGCAACTCCCAGGACAAACCATGAAATCTGGTAGTGGGGTGAAAGCTGGGGGCAGGAGGAGAGGTTGATGAGCGTAATTATTCTATTAGCACCTTCACTCTGCCAGCTGGCTCTCCTCAGGCTGGAGTCAAAGATTTACCACTGATCTATAAGATCCAGTAGACAGCTCGGTTTCTGAAATTCAGGCTGCATTTCCTTGGCTAAAACACTTTCTACTTGTAATAAATATTTCCATCAGCCTTCTATCTCTCTTCTGACCTGTTTCTTGAGTTCACTTTTCCTGCAGCCCCAGCAGCCTGTGCACACTCCTCCCCAGCACGCAGCAAGGTCTGCCTGGTGACAGCCCCACTGTCCTGGAGGGCTCCAGCCCTGGTGGCTGTGATCCACGGCGGGAAGAGCTCTGTCAGGGACAGGGCAGCCCTGCAGGGTGCCAAGATCCCGTGTCTCTGTCGAGGTCTATCAGCATCTGCTTGTTAAATAGGCCTTGGCTGAACAAGCCCAGCTCTCCAGCCCCACTGAGCTCCAATGCTGCTGAAAAAATGCAAATTGCCCACTATCTCTTGAGCTGAAAACAGACCCATTTTGATTGCTGCCTGGGCAAAGGGAGTTTTAACCGTGCCCATATTTGCAGCATGTTTCAGCAGTTGTGCAGATTCTGCTTCTCTGGGGTGTCAAAGGACACCTCCGTGGTGTGAAGAAAGTCACTTTGGATTCTCCATCTCCCTCCACAGTGAAGGTTATTGTAGCTGGGGCAGGAATATTTTGGAGGTCCTCCCTTGCCAGCCATTTCTCTCACAGCAGTTTTATTTATATATGTGTGTGTTGACAGACACCCAGCTGTGTGTGCTGGGGGATTATCACATACCCCCAGAGCTGGCACAGCCTCTGCAGGCTGCCTGTGTCTGGCAGGGCTGCAGCTGCGTCCCTGCCGCTGGAGTGAGAGAACTCTGGTTTGTCTCTGTAGATAAAACAAGGTGGGAAGCTGCTGGGCCACTGGGCAGGCATTTCTTTATGCAAGTGCTAAGATAAGGAGAGCTGTTCCACCCTTTCCACAGCTCCCAAATTTTCTCTGTGCATTTACTGACTGCTCTGGGCATTCAGCTGCTGCCCACCCATCCCACCCATTTGCCAGCACTATTTATAGCACAGCTCTAGGGTTTCAGAGGGGTTGGAAACCGAGCAGCACGCTGCCATGGCAATAGGGATGCTTCCAGAGCCCCAGGAAGAGAGCCAGGGTGAGGGAGGCAGCTGGAGGCAGCGAGTGCCCAGGGAATGTGTCTGAAGCAGCCCACGAGCCCCCGAAGCTCGACCGAGAGACGCCTGTGAGCCGAGCCCGGGCAGAGCTGGCAGGGCTCTGGGGCTGCCAGGACAGCAGGAGAAAAGGGAGGTTTTGTCAGCACCACACAGAGCACGGTTTGATCGCACTGACCACGGCACACAAAGGACAAAGGCGGCAGATGCCAAGGAGTAGGCTTTAACTGCCCGGGGAGCCTTCCCGTTACAGCTGAGTAACACTCCAGAAACGCAAGAGGCACTTATAGGGGCTGTTTATCTTTTTATTATAAATTTGGTATGAATGACCAATGGAAAAATCACAATGGAGTACCAAGAACATTTTATCAAAATTTTAGCAGCATTTAAACAGTAATAGATTCCCAACCTCCTCTGGGCACCCCTTGCCCTTTGCCTCCCACACATAAATCAGTAACTTTCACTCAAATGTGCTTTCCAAAGGCGTGCAGGGGATGTAGCTGGCCATTTTCCCCTGAGCTGCCATGAAAAAAATCTCATCCCAAATGCTGGTTACCATTCAACCTCCATCCACACAGGGCCAGGCCCCCGTCCCCTCCCTGCTGCAGGAGCACAGCAGGAGGCTGGCTGGCTGTGGCTGGCACGGCACTTGCCAGGGGGGAGGCAGCACCTGCTCACGCCCTCCCCTGCATGGATCAGCACTCCTGTGGGCGCCCATGGCCGCCAGGCACAAAGCCAGGGCTGAGCCCTGTCCCGCCGCTGCTGCCCTTCCCTCTGCACGCGGGGGTGCCCCAGGCCCCGCTCCTGTACCTGAGAGTGCGCTGTGTCTGATGGAGAGGAGGAGGAGGGAGGCTGGCGCTCCGCAGGAACCCACAGCAGGGCAACCGGGAGCTGACACTTGAAGGGGGAAGGTAGAAGGTGAGCAGTGAGATACTCGAGTATCAACCCACAAAATGAAGTCAGTCTACTATCAGCTAATGTGGAGAGCCATGGGCTGCCTACTAAGTACGAGAACTAATTTTTTGTGTGCGCTTTTCTTTTTTAAAGTTACATTAAGACATGAACAGTACTACCCCGGCCTCACTGGCCAGAGCTTGGTGAAACAACGTTGAATCAGAGGTGGGGAAACACAACACACGTGGAGACAACAACATAATATCGGCAAGCTATTCCCCTGCTTCTTTGGTACTTCCTAAACTTTCTTATCCAAAATATATAAGGGAAATGCACCATTTAAAAGTTACTGTTCATAAGTATTTACACAGCCATAACCATCACGCTATGATACACGAAAATCAGGATGATATGAACAAAGTTATTTCATGAAAAGCACTTCTGCACATTTTATTTTGTTCCAGTATCTTAATAGCTTTAAAAAAAGTCATGTATTACGCAGTCCTGTACCTCGCTTCTTCTTATATCAAATGGACAAGAAACATTTCCTAATTCATACTCTTCTTCAAAAGATTAAAAAATAGCCACCAAAATGATACACTATGTACAAATTTTACTAAATATTAAGTTCTAGGCAATTATTTTCACCCCACTGATGATATAACTTAGGTATTGTTACCTACTATATGCATATATATTTCTTTAATATATAAGAAATGGCACCACATCACCATGTCACCAATATGACACATTGTTATGTACAGTAGATAAGAAGTTAGGTATGGAAGATGGATCCTCTCCGACTGCTTCTTTCACGGGAACGCTTCTCCCATGGGCTGTAGCTCGGCCATTTCCCCTTTTCCCAGCAGAGGAAGCTCCTCAGATGTAAGGCAGGATCCCGTACATCAGCAGCGCCATCACGCCGGCGCTGAACAGGCCGGCCACGGGCACAGTCACAAACCAGGCCAGGAAGATGTTGCGGAACAGGCGCCAGTCCACGGCTTTCTTGGAGCGGATCCAGCCCACGGCCACCACGGAGCCAACCTTGGGAGCGTGGGGAAGAGAGAGGGAGGCAGGGGGTGAGGGGTCGGTCTGAGCACCTGTAACATGCCCACGGCCACACCAATGCCAGTCAGCTGATACCAAGTGATGCCCTGAGGTAAAGGAGCCCCTGAGGATGACAATGGCTCTGTCCTGGTGTGGTGGCAGGAGTGTGACACTTCCAGGCTACTTAAACCTTTGTTTTTCAATGCTGTCCTATTTTTCATGGGTCTTGGGGTCAGCCAAAGGCAATAAACTATGTTGGTGAGTTTTTCTCTGCCCTGCTAACTCCTAAATGAGCCTTCAGTGCAACTGAGGCAGCCCTACACCTGACTCAGTCCACGGGGGAGAGAGCAAGTGTCCAGTGACTCTGGCCTGATTGCAATTTAAATCAGGAAAACACCAGGAAAGCTGTTTTTAAGGCTCTGCTGGGGAGCATCTCATGGGGCAGGCCAGGACAGCTAGTATGGGTCCTGTCCCACTGCCTGTCCTCTTGCTGGTTTGGGATGCCCTGCCTGTTCTGCCTCTCTGTGCAGCTCACAGCCCAGCCTCAAAACACCATATCCACATTCCAGTACTGCAGGCCACAAACAGGATGGCAGGGGCAGGGTAAAAGCAGCTGAGCCCACCCTGTGGCAGCAATGGGGCCTTGGCAGGGGGCAGAAAGGCAGGGCAGGCTTAGACCTAGTACATCAAACCCATCGATCTGAGCCCTGTGAGGGAAACAAAGCATCCAGAACTAAAATCCTGTCTTGCAGAAAAAGACACCAGACTATATTATGGGGCACACTAACTGTCCAGACACCAAGAGGATGGTGGGGAATGGATAAAACACCAAAATATCCTTCAAAGACATTACTACCAGGGCAGCTGGGTAGGTCAGTGGTTTTGTAGACAAAACACACTGTGTTATGGGCAAAGCTGCAACCTTTTCTTCCTTCAAAGGTATTTTCACATAATAAACTCAGGTATAAACCCAGCATATCAGTTTTTAAGAAAAAAAAACTGGACTGAGAAAAACATTTTCAATGAAAAATGATACAAGAATTTCATAAAGACTACATTTTCTTTCCGCCCTCGAAGTGCTTTCCATGCTGTTAGCAAAAACAGTGTAAGTCTATTCAAAGTGCACAGTAAAGCAGCAAGAAATGTGGAAGAAATATCCTGTTTTGAAGGTAAGGAAACTCCAAGACACAGCTGGGCATGTGCTCCCTGAAGTGCCATCCCTGTCTCCCTGCTTATTTTCTTAATGGGAGTATCAGTCCCTGCCTATAGATCAAAAGATGGGTTGCTCCCCTTGCACAGAGCCAGGAAAATGATACATGCCAGGAGTACAGGGAATCAGGGATAGATAGCTGGGGATACAAAATCCGCATGTTTTGCTAACACCTGTTCAGCTTCTAACTACTGCTAAACATTTCTTTTTGGAGAAGAGTTACTTGTGGAAGACCCTGTAACTCTAGGGGGCCTGTGACAGAACAAGGGAAAACTAAACTTGATATTCTATGACCAATACGGTCTCTGCTGAAAATTTGACCCAAAAATGAAATTTGTTGGATAATATTTTATCTGAATACTCCTGGAGTGAACAATATGCTGTTCTGCAATTAGGAGGGGTAAGTGTGCTGAGGAGGTGGAGGTGTACCTAGGTGAAGAGGAACCCCACACTTGTGACTACATCAAGGAAAGAGCATTTGGGTTTTCAGCAGCTCAGCTGTTAGGCTCAGCTTTACATTTGGTGTGTGTTACTTATTGAGCAAGGCTGCAGTCTGCGTACACTAATCTCCAAATCCTTCCTGAAACTGAAATGGTATCAGCAATGATGGCATTGGCAATCTGTTTTAAACATTATTAAAGTTTAGTTTATTAATAGTGATTTTTGATAGACTAGAGGTTAGGAGAGAAGCTAATCCTTGGGTGTAGGCACACTACACCTTCTGTAGAATTTCAGATGGTATCTACTTTGAGATTGGTTTGAAACCAGTGCAGTTTGCCTTCAGTATGCTCTGCTTAAAGCATTACAGAAATGCTTTTGGCTCTCTTGTTCCTGTGCAATGCTGTATAATAAGAACACGCAGAACATGATAATTCAATCATAGCAACAGAGAATATTTTTCAAAACCGCAAAATCATAATGGCAAAATGGAGCTGGCAGAATGACCTCAGCAAAGTCACTTTTGCAGAAGAAAAGCATTTAACTGCTGCACTCTAATTTTATCTTACATGAACACACTCTGGTACAGCTAAGAAATGCCTATTTCTAAATCTTCAATCTGAGAACAAAAAACAGGCACTCTAAGACTCTGTGTGATCATTTGCCCACCTGGGCAGCAGAAAGGGAAGGAATGCATTCCCACCCTGTGGCTTTCCAGTGCTAAATCCCAGGGGAGGTTGAACTGGTGCAGCCAGAGCAATGTGGCTACTGCATTCAGACCCACCAATTCCTCTGAGGCTCAAAAGATAAGGTCTTTCCTCCAAGCCCTCTTGACTTGGACCCTCTCCCCTTGGACCTGTGGCAAAGATGAAGGTGCAGTTCAGGCTCTCAGCAGGCACTGAGAGTGAAAACGCTGCTTGGCCATTGATGTGGGACAGGCACATGGGGCAGTGACACCTCGTGGAGACCAAAGGCTCTGGTTTAGGACCAAAGGCAGGTCCTGATCTGAGAGGGCTTTACAAACCTTTCCCAGAAGCTAAATGCTTTTGTTCCTACTACCAACCTCCAGTTTGCCACCGCATCTGCTGTGAGATCTGAAAACTGCTGCTCTGAGCTTCAGACTTGGTCTCCATTTTTCATTATAGTCTACTGTTTCACTTCTAAAAGGTTTCCCTCCACCTCATCTGTTTCATGCTGCTCCTTATTTGCCATCACTTTATCCAGCTGCTGCACACTCAGGTGACTGACACCCCTTCAGAAGGGTTCCACTCAAACAAATGCTATTTTGCAGTGGAGCAAATATTGAGGAAAAGAATAAATCCCAATCCCTGATGCTGGAGGCTCAAGATTACGCTCACCTCAAACTTGTTTTCTTTTGGATTTCTAAGGCAAAATAATTTTTCTGCTGATTTTTAAGAAGGCGTTTTTGACTCGGTGTTTGACAGCACTTTCAGCAAGGCATTTTCACATGGACCAAATGATATTTACCATTCTTTTATTCTTTCCCTGGCCCTCAAAGAAAGCAAGGAATGAAAGAATACATCAGTTACAAGTGTTTGCTTTATCTTGTGTTGCTCGTTTAGGATTTTTCAACTCAGGATCTCATTTTGCTGAAACACAGAGTCAGTTATAATAACATGACATCCTTGGAACAGTCTAATCCTATTGCAAAGTGGATCTTCCCATTAAGAATGATCCATCTAATGAGATACAGCAAGCTACAGGGAACAGACACAGACTAACCACATTAGCTGCTTTTATGGAAGTATTTTTAAAAAAAGAACTATTTTGCTCTGCAGTTAGAAAAGGCCAAGCTTTTAGCTGCATTGAGTGAATGAATACCCCTCTCATTAGCTTCTGGCTTCCAAGACATTTTCTTTTTAAATTCAGTCTATTTGTTTGGACCAAAGTATGTTTTCTCTTTTACAACAGTTGGCTAGAAGTGTTTCAGGCACGCAACTGGGATAATCAAAGCTGTATTATTCTCCCTGGCAAATTCTTCATCATGCATTTGATATACCAGTCAGCCTAAAGGGAGGTGGTTTCAGGCTAGCATTTTTAGAAGTGGATAACATTGTTATTATTTTTCCCCTCCCTGCCTTATTCAGAGGAACCAGAGTTCTGTCAATGCCAGGAAATCTGAACAGCCTTTCAGAGCAGCTCAGTCTTGGCTGCTTCTCAAAGAGCACCAGGGTAAAAGAACTAAATGATTTTGCAATAGAGGAAGGCTTTCTGAAGAAATGGTTTGCACTAGAAAAAGGCCAATTGAACCAACTTTGGGCATTTTGCAGGATGTGTGGATTTCATTGACTCTTTTACTGGAAAGCAGGTCAATGTCACAGGCAAGGCTGCCAGGCTTCTTGCCAGCCTGCCTGCCATGCCATGGAGCAGTTATCCCCGGAAACCTGCCTGCCCCAGCCCCAGCTGGGGGCTCCCCAGGGTGCAGCAGGGAATCCTACAGGCACTGTCTTTTTTTAGGACTTGGTCTTGGTGGGGTGCAATGATGCAGAGGGACTGCCATTCTGGGGTCTCTGATTTTGGAGGGGCTTCCCCACATCCTGCCAGAGGGTGAAAGAAACAAACAGCTCTGCACATCCAGGAGCTGGAGAGACCATGGAGAAACAAAAGGAAAAAAGACAGGATATTTGACCTGAGAATTTCCCAGGGAACAAAATTCCAAATTCCCATTATGATCTTCCAGTAGTGTAAACGTCCACATGCTCCCTCATGTCTACAAGCTATATAAATGTCTTCATGACAAAATTAAATTGTGCTCATTACCCAGCCTGTATCTATACTACAAAGTGCTCCTTTTAATAAAAAAGAACAAAAAAGCAAAGTACCTTGTTCAAAGGACTAATTACAAGGGCCAGATTCTGTATTACAATGCACAAAAGTGAGGACAAGTTGGTTTAAAAGAAGAGAGACATTAAAATATTAGCTTCATGATGTAGCAGTGTTTTTCATACAGGTGGTTTTAAAATACACGTAACTGGGTTCACACAGACTACGAATCTATGTTATTTTAATATGTCTATATTAGTTCAATAAAACCATGTAGGAGTGAAATACAGTCCAGACTTTTGTGCAATTAGTTAAAATGCTGACTTTGCTTGGCTGTACTGCCTTTAAAAGCGGGCCCCGTTATTTTGCGGTCACGGTCTGCAGGGCACGGCACAGTGAAGGCAATCTGCAACATTCGGTATCTCCCAGATTTTGTTATGGTTTGTCCTAGTGATGTGATTTACTGATAGTATCACTGCAAACTCCAATACCTTGCAATGGGTGGAGCTTATTGGAATACCCACATTTGAGGCTACAAGTACCGTTAGCGCACACATTACTTCAATGCAAAATCCACTGTGAAGAAATAAAAAAAAAAAAAAAGACAGATGGAAAACCTGTAGTAAAAGAGTTATACGCAGGAAATCCCATGCCATGCACTTATCAAGAAAAGTCAAGTATAAATGATGAATGGTGCGCAGCCTCTGAACAAGGGAGAAATGTTACCCGGCCAGGTTCAAATGGCACCATCAGAGGAAACCAGGCTCTTCCTCGCAATCGTTTGCTTTAAAATTGAGGTCAGGCTTTTGCAAGCGCTATTCTTCCTCACCAGCAGCTATGGGGTTTATGCTGTGGCCAATTCCAGTGACGTTAATGTGACAACTCCAACACATTTTCTGGAAGCCTGATTACTTTCCCACATTGCTGGTGTGACCAAGATGAGGCACCCCTACCTAACCATCCTCTGCCAGCGGCTGCTTTCCCCTCACCGTGCCATTATCCCTGGCTCGAGCAGCACAATTTTAAGATGAATAGTCCAGACTGCCTTGACTGCAGTCGCTGGGCAAAGGCATACCTTGCAGTGTGTAGTACTGACAGGAAGTCCAACATTGGAAGCTACCACAACTGTGAACGCCGAAGCCAACTCAATAGTGAATCCACTGCGGGAAGCATAAGAAAACACTTCACAATCACTCTTTGCATCAGCTCGGACTGATACCATGCAGCGTGCCAAAGTCTTACCCGTTTCTTCTTTCGACTCTTATCTCCAACTGATTTTTGGTCATGTGAGTAAGTTAAGAGGACAAGAAAGGGCTGAACAATGGGCAGGGCACAGGCTAGTCATCCGCAGCACCCCGTCTGCGCGGCTCACTGCGTCAGAGACCTCTGCTACTCTACGCTGCCGTGGATTGTGCCTAATTAGTAATTTGGTTAAGCACCAGCAGAGGTCGAGTAGGCATTAAAGGCAAAAATTACTGTAATGAATATATATGGGTTTAATGGTCTCAAGCCCACTGGGAAAGCCACTGTAATCTTGCCATTTCCAAATGCAACTTCTACCGCGCTAATTAGGTCATGAGCACAAGACTCTGCTGCCTGTTCATGCAGACCTCTATGCCTTAAACACATTCAGTATTACAGAGTTATCCTTTTTCCTTTCTCTCTTTCTTTTTCTCATGCTTTCCTTTTTCTCCTTTTTTGTTTATTGCTTTTTTTTCTTTAGAAAGATGGAGAAGTCAAAGCCAGGTTATCATTAAAATCAAAGCACAGCAAATCCAGCAAACTGCATTACAAACAAAATACTGGAACGGCAACTTCTCAGACTGGCTCACACACAAAGTTCACACAACCACAATGACACCTGTGGACCTACCTTGACGGTGTGATTGGAGTGAGGTCTTTACCCATAGTCTGGATAACTCTTCTTCCCCAGACCCAGAGGCCCACACAGATGCCAACACCTCCATAGAACAGCAGCCAGATGGGAGTGGATGCCTCCTGCATTACGGCACCTTGCTCGTAGATAAGCCAGAGTGCGACGAGGGGACCGATGGCATTGCTGGAGAAACAGAAACGTTTCACCTGAGTCACAAGAATGCACAGAGTTCCCTTGAAAGAAGTCTGTTATTTTCTGCATGGTTTTTCTTCATCATGGGTGCAGCACTACTCTGACTTGACCCTTTCTCAGTTGGAAAGGGTGCAGCAGGAGACTCTTATTGTGTTGCTCTTTCAGCTGTCACTTCTTCACTGATAACCAGAGCAAGGCCTGAAAGAAATTTCTCTTTTACAAATAGTTTCCTGAAATGTCAGAGTTGGAAGTACCTTGTTATGTTTGGTCTGTGACAAAAATCAGTACCACATTGAAACATAAAATTTACCAATTTTACCAACCTCAAATTCTTCCAAAACCTCAATTTACCAAATTTACCAATACCTCAAAATTTACCAATTGAGGAGCAGTGCATCTTTAAAATTCAAGTATCAAATTAGCTCTTTTTATCAAAGAGGGGAAAATAATGAGCAAAATTACCATCACAGACAAGAATATAGAAATATTATCTAGCTTGACAGCCCGTAATGTTTGAGATATGATCTGAGTGGAGCTGGGAAGGTGACTTAGTTATCTTCAAAGATGTTGTAGAGTGAGTTGGACTGGATCAGAGAGGAGCCTTTGGTGACGCAGAGCTGAAGTAAGCCCTTTTTGCTGCTACTGTCTGGAAAAACATTGGAAGTCAGCAACACTGACGTCCCCACTCTTAACGCAGGTGATCTGATACTCATGTCTGGAGTCAGACTTCTGGCTCTGTTTATTCTAAAAAAGCATCAAGTTTCTAGACAGAAACTTCTAGCTAGAAGAAAAACTTGAAAGCCAGTATCCAATTACTTTCGAGGCGTAAATACTAAAAAGCAGATAAGAATTTCAACATCCCTTTTGTTTTCAGCTCTTTTACTAAACCAAGTAGCTGCTTGCCTTGCTGAGCAGCATTTATTCACCAAATAACTAGTGAAGCAGTGCTATATTTATGTCTAAATAATAGTGAGAAGAGCAGAACAAACCTGACCAATGTCATTCCAAAAATATGAAAACTATCAGGGAAGCTCCCCTCTTTGTAAGCCAATAGGAAAGCAGGTCACAGCGAGCACCGCGGGCAGGACTGACAGCCATGCTCGCCCTGGAGCCAGGACCTGCTAAATTTAGCTCCTGGTCCCACTCCAAAGCACACAGATGGAGTAAGGGCCAGTTTTAATGTCAAATGTTGTGCAAACCAGGCCACTGTATATGCCAGTTAACAATTTCCTTCAATCCTGTCTTTACCAGATATGAGGTGCCAGGGGCCGAGTGGTGATTGCCAAGAGACAAGGGCCACCAGCAGCCCAAAGCTGGCACATCTCAGCAACACAGGACCCTCCTGCCTTCATCTGGCCCTTGAGAAATTGAGCTCTGAACCCTGAGAAGTGATCCTGAAGCAAAGTAATAAGGAAAAGCTTTTCCCTCGTAAACACACACAGCAACGGTCAAGCTGCGAGGGAAATGAAAGCAGCTAAAAATGCTCTTTGCCATAAAAAAGAATTACTATTTTTTACAGATTTTGAGAAAGATCCTGAAAATAAATTAGTGAGCTAACATGAATAAGAAAATCCAGTGGGTTTGAAGACACTGGGTAGTACAATGAAGAACTAAAGACTCTAAATAAAGAGTGATTTTGACTAGCTAGAACACTTTAAAATTCTGTTCTGATACTGTGCCCAAGTAAGCATTCAGTTAGTTCAGTTTTGAAAGGACAGTATGTGAAAAGTCATTAGGGCCTAAATGCAAGAATTATTTTACTTCCATGGAAGAAGAGATTATTGACTGAAGCATTTCTAATATTTTGAAATCAACCTGAAACTGTTTTTCCAGTGTTTTCAGGTGTGGATTAAATTACTTGCACACTTAAATGCCTTCTTGGGCACAGAAAAAGAAAGGTAATTCAATGTACGAAGGTACACAAATAAACTGATGGATGCTGAAGGATGGATAAAGGCAAATAATACATTGATCAGATGAATAAAGGCAAAACTGATCATCCCTTTTTATAGTGCTGTATGACATGGAAGAAAACTTCCCTGTTGAAAATAACAGCCACATTTGAAGTGAGATCAGGCACTGATTCCTGACTGTTCTGAAGAGATTATGCATACGTATTTGTCAGTCCCAACTTAAATGAAAAGGCAGAAAAAGCTTCCAAAACTGCAGCAGCAAACTATGCTCTTCCATATCAAAGCCCAGTCTTAATTATTTGCAAATGCTACACCTCTGTGAATCAACAAAGCTTAATTCTTGAGGAAAAGGTTCTTATTTGTGGCAAGGGAAGACAAGCCAAAACTGCTGACTTATGCTCAGCCTCAGAGAATCTGAGTGGCTGATTCTGTCCAACAGAGCAGAAGAGATGACACTGCTGCCCACAGAGGCAGCACTTCTGACACCTTCCCTGTAAGAAAAGAAAGCCAAACAGCACTGGATGTGCTGATGCTAGGCTTGGAAAGGCAAAAAGGTAAAAACTAACCTCATTTTACTTTGTGGGTGTCTGCATCACTGGTTATCTATACTGGAGGGACTCAGTAAATCATTTTCAATGTGACTTAAATGTTCAGCTCTTAGGGAGAGTGGCATGTCCCAGCCTGAATATCTGCAAGTGGCTACAAACAGCAACAACAGTGGCTTGAATCTAGCACCATAGCAGCTCTTCAAGGGGCTCCTTCAGCTTCCAGACTTGTCCAGGAGGTGCATTCCAAGGGGCCTGTGGTATCAATGCTCCCCATGCCAATGGAAAACACCTCTAGAAGAAGCTGCTGGGCCTGTCCCACCATGAAACTGCCAACAGCTCACAGCAAATGGGCCTGACTCAGGCACTACAGAGACTATCATCTTGGCTCTGCACAGAGGTAGAAGACAAAAAGCCACTCCCAACAGCACAGTAAGAGAGGGCAAGGGAGAAACAACGCACTAAAAAAACCCAGCAACAGAAAAGGCATTGTTAGATAAGACAGTTTGCTTAACAGATGTCTCCTACAGCGGAGTGACTAACCAGATGAACCACAAGGATGCTGGCTAGACTGGGATGTGGCTTTCACAGTATTTCCCACTAGTTCTAGCTCACTTGATTCAGGACATGACTAGCAGGAAAGCAGACCTCAAATCTTCCATGCATTTGGCTAAGACTCATTTCACAAGTCTATTTTCCATAAGTTATTTTCTCTTACTCTCCCACCCAGGTTTCTACTTACCTTAACTAACTCTCTGCTGGAGCTCCACATCTTATCCATGGCAGTTTAGAGAAGAAAAAAGCCTGACAGGGTCACACAAGGGCTCTGAACCCCCATCCACATCTATCTATATGTAAAACTGCCTCAGGTTCCTATGAAGCTGAAGTGCTCTAAAGAATTTGCTGTATTATCTACCTGTTGGGTTTAAAACAGAAAATAGGCTGCTCCTGTCATGGTATTACTTTAATTTTGCACACCTAATTCACACTTTCCCACTGAGCACAAGGGGGTGGCCAATAGGAGTTAATTTTAGGATGAGTTTATAAAACGTTATGGCATAAGAAGCCCAACTCCTGAGCCTGCCTGCTGCAAAGTGTATTGTCCACATCCAGCACTTTCCCCACCTCTGCTGGGCTCCCCCAGCCCCATCACTCGCAGGGCACAGCTGGGGTGCTGCACAGGGGCTGTTTGCCTTCCCTGCAGGTGCAGTGCAGGATTTCATGCCACCCAGAGCCGTACTTGCACTGGCAGAGGTGTCCCATGGGGCTCACTGGAGGGCTGCTCCTTGCCTCTGAGGTGCTGCCTGGCCCTCGGGATGGTTTTCCTGGCGCTCTCGGCTAACGTGAATTGGCACAATTCTCTTCTGCTGCTGCTCGTGCCAGTTTAGAATCTGTCACACAGCATTTATAAAACTGTTGTGAAAGATAGCATTTGACAGTGAATCTGAACTATAAATAAAGCTGGCTTCTCCTCTCCCCTGTGAGACAGATAGTATTACCAACAAAAATAACCACCCCACATTCAGCTATCATGAGACAGGCTTAGAAATGACAGTTTCCCATGCACACACACAAGCAGAAATTTTTAGGTACCTTTGGGTCACAAGTCCAAGACCTTCTCTGGAGGAATAAGGACTAACACTTTTTTTTTTTTTCAGCAAAAAAGAAGAGGCTTTTTCCCAGTCATTCAGCCATCAGCTGAATGCTCTGTGACCAAACCCCATCAAGCTTGTAGTAACATGTTATGAAGCAGCAACATTGCTATTTCCTGGCTGCTGTTTGAGGGGAGTAAGTAGTGGGTTGCTCAAAAAGAAAATCTAACTACATTTGAAAACTACACTCTGAATATGCTTTGTGAATAATGTATAGACTCCTTGATGACCATGCTTAGATTCTCTGCCACCTGAAAAAGGAGATTGCTTTTTAGTCCCTTTTTCTAGTTTAGTGAAAGAACCTTGAATTGTACATTATCACAAATTAAAGCTGAATGACGAGCAAAACAGCCATCTGAAAAATCCGTATTAGGTGTCCAAAATTACAAGTACAATTACAAAATGTCCAGCCATTTAACAATTTCTCAAACCAGGATTTCAAAAACAAACCTTCCAGTGGGAAAATCAGTGGGATGATATTTCTAAATAGGCTGCAGTTATGTCTTGAGACATCACCCAGCTGAGCAAGAGTGAAAGAAAGATACGCCTGTAGGTAGCAACAGGAAAAAAAACATGCTCTAATCTCCAAGGTTATCAGATTATCAGGAGACTTTTATCCTACTTCAAATAACTGGACAGCCTTGACATCTACCACAGCACAATAAAAGTGTGTCAGAGCTGTGCCCTGTGAAGTGCAAGCTTTGGGTGTGTTAATGAGTCAGGGTGGACATGCTTTTATTCCTGCAGCTCATTTCTGTGTCCTGCAAATGCTGGCCCTGAACCCCCAGCCCTGGATCCTTCAGGGTTGGGTCTGTACCCACCAGCATCAGCTTTTCCCCTGGCAAGGCAAGCCCAGCCATGAGCCCTGCTCACAGAGGGAT